CCAAAGTGCAGTGGTTCCCAAACTTTTCAGCTTTTGACCCACAAAACAACATTAGCAGAGACCTGAGCCCCCATTTATGATGACAAACATTTGAATCAAGTCAACAAAACATGGGCACAGTAATAATATTTTTATACTACATTTATCCATTTTAAATATACTAACCTCACTCCTTTGTAACAACTAAGGCAAAAATGTAATTAATTCAGAAAATCTTTTCAGGACCCCACCTTGATGTTTCAGGACCCTACTTTGGGTCCTGACCCCAACTTTGGGAAACACTGGTTTAAAGGCCAACAAATCCCTTTTCTTCTTGTCATGTTTTTCTATTTTTAATCAATATTTTACCTCTATTACACTATGACTGACATCCAAAGACAAGATATGACTGAAAAGACATTTATTTAAAAAATAAAAATAAAATCTCCTGAAACTGTAAATACAAAATATTTTACAATATATACATCAATTTTTTTTCTATGTTCCTAAATCTTGTTTGAGCCACAGTTAAAGTCATGTTGTGGGCGATATTAGCTGCAATAGTCTGATCACTGGAGGTTCCTCAGCTCCTGGATGTGACCAGCCAGCTCCTGTGGCAGTCCCAGCTCTGACACTATGTCCACACAACGCTGCAGCAGCAGGTCTAGACCTCCACGTGGGTCCGAGGAGCAGTCACTGGACTCTGAGAAAAGAGTTTGCGGCTGTTGAGGACCGTCCATGTCCATTTTCTGTCCGCTCCTGCAGCAGTCCGGCTTGTTGCAACTCTCTCCACCGCAACCTGGATTTGGATTTGCCTGTTCCACCTCCAGATCCTCCATGCTCTCCCAGACGTCGTTCACACTCGGAGGAGGATTCTTCAAAGTCCGCATGATGCTGTTCATGATTTGGTCTTCGTGTTGCGTTACCTGCTGCAGGAGGTGGGTCACAGAGGCTGGGACGGCTTTGTCTGGATGATGGATCTGGCACCAGCACCACACAGCGCTGTAGAAAGAGATACAAATGGGCAACAGTGTTACATACAACAATAGAGAGAACTGACTAGAGCCGGCTTCTAATGAGCTGAATAGAAACTTTAATTATTGTCAGAACAAAACAGAGGATGTTTCTGAACTAAAAGGATTTTAACTCAAAAGGCTGTACACATCATTGTAATATAAGTGAAAAATATATGAAATAACCATTAAAATTGAGAGCAGTAACATTACATCCTATATTCATGGTCATTTTAAAACAATAATAGTGTCTACATTAACTCATGGTATTTGTAGATCTGTTTTACAGTTCATAAAGCATTATGAGGCCCATCAAAAAGATGTGTTAAAAAATAAGTTTCTTTCAATTCAGTGGATTAAAACAGGACAATAAAAGCATCCAATTCTCACCTCGTCTTAAAAAATAGGTAAATGTAATCAAAGATGATATTTTATCACGTCTAAGCTGAATAAACCTTATACGAACAACCATCAAGTGTGTCATTGTTCATCAGCTGTATTAACTTAAGTTAAAATTCAAGTAAAATCCATGWTTTGATACAAAGAAATGTATTATTGAAATAGAATACCATGATTGAATATTTTTATTTTTATTGGCTTGGTTTTATTTTAAGAATTTAATAATTGCAGAAGAATCTATAGATGTTTTAAAGTAGAAAAATACATAAAATAGGCTTTTTGTTAGTTTAAGTCAGCTATTTTTGTAATCAGGTAGAAGTAAAAATAAAAAGAAGATCTGATTATATTATAGTTAGTTCTCCCTTCAAAGTGTTGTGAAGTTTGTCATTATAATTAATAAATTCTATGTGAATGTGGAGTTTAAGTCAGTTTAATGTGAAGGCTGTCAGCTGTGTGAGAGAAACATTTTTGTTTTACCTGATGATTCCTTTGAGTCGACCCACAGCCACTGTCTGAGCCGCTCCTTCTTTAAAGCCCTGGTTAAAGCCGACCTGAAGAGAGGCCTCCTCACCGTCACCAACTCCGTCCACGTACCCGTCCTGTCCACAACACCAGCAGCACAAAACAAGAGCATTGTTATGTACGACCCTCAGAGAGCAGAGTTTGACCGAAACAGATTGYAGCTAGCTTTACCCTGACGCGTTTCTTCATGTTGGATGTCCACTCTTTACTTTGTAAARTAAGCTCATCCGCGTTCTCGTCGAACACATCTTCACCACCTGACGGCATAGCTTTGAGCCAAGACATCACAAGTTTATATCAGAGCTCTGTTTGGGGGACTAGAAGCGTGTGAACATTCACAGATATACCGGCTAACTTTGCTGCCTACGCAGCAAACACTCAACGTGACGTCACAAACATGCGCCCGCGACGAGGAGATTCGTGGAGTCCGCAAATATAGAAATCGGATAGTTGTCTTTTCAATACATTGCGTAAAGTTAGTTTAAAATGTTAACTTGAATTTAGATTATTTTAAATCAASATTCATACACAAAAACGGTCAATGTAACCAATTTGTCATAAATGATGGACATTGTAGCTGTAAAAAAAATCTGTACATGCTAAATCCACTTATAAACACCTTGGCTAATTGTTATTATTTTGGGTGGAGTGGGGAGAATCACAGATAAAAAAACAAAACAATGTGATTTGACAGCTTAACATTTTTTTTTTACACATAACTGACTTTAATCAATTAAAAAATAATACTTGCTTTCTTTCAAATAAAAAGGCTATGTACAAAATTACTCTGCAGTTTGTATTTCTAAAACAAATTCGTTTTCGTTTTGATCCAAATTCTTGCATTTTTTCAATAAAATTAATTCCCATTAAGTTTGTTTTAGGAGGCTTTAAACTAATAATAAT